ATTAAATCCAAGTGTTAAAAGTTTTTTGGGTGTTTTTTTTTTCTTCATATCGACCAAGTCCACATAGCGGCTTCCATGGGAGACACAATTTTAGAAGACTACACTAAAACTAAAGGGCAGTTTCTTTATCGTTTCAGTCTAGACTACAATTATGAGGAGGCTTCAAAAAGTTGGTGGAAAAATTCCATTATCTTTTAACTGCATTTTTCCACGAACTTTTTGAAGCCCCCTCCTATTGTTACAGAAATTCCAGGCAGGGGTGGGGTGGAGTGGGAATCATTCCTTAATGAGGTCCCACAATTAGCCGTGTTTAAATGTAAAACCAACACTGCCACCTAGTGGCGAGCTAAGTCACCTCGTCGGCATGTCCAAACCTCAGAGGGACTGACTGCATCTGTGAGGAACAATACAAATTAAGTCAAGTACTGCAAGAGTTTGATATGTGGGAGAAATGGAGCGGCTATCTTAAGTTTTTACACCCAGGAAAATAAAGGGGCTTCAAAACATTCTTGGGAGAATGAGATGGTCGTATGGTTATTTGGTGGGTGGGTTCATTAGTTGGTGGGTAAGTTAGTAGGTTGTTGGTGGTAGCTGTGTGTCACATGGGGTTTCTGAGGCTGCAAATCTTTAGGGGAGCAGCAAGCGGTATCTTTCTTCTGTGCAGTGACTGGTAGATGTTAACTACTGACACTGCGGTTAGCAGCCCAGTTCCTAACCCTACCAGGGCTCCTCTGAGTAGAGGTACTATGCCTGGTCTATCTTTGCATCCTCAGCACATTGCTCACAGTTGTTGTTGTTGTAAAGTGCCATCAAGTTGATTTTGACCCATAGCAACCCTGTAAGGGTTTCCGAGGCGCAGCTGGTGAGCTTGAACCGCCAACCATGCAGTTCAAATGGCTTTGCAGTCTGACGCATTAACCCACAGCACCACAGCTGCTATAAATACTGGAGGGATGGGTAAATGGATGAATGGTGGATGGAAGAATGGATAGATACATGATTGGTTTATGAATAAATTCATCCACAGACCAGGTGAACACTAAACATTACCAAAAAATCCTAACCTCAGCAGGGATGCCAATCTGTCTACCCACTGTCCATTCCTGCCTTCTTCCTTACAGTACTCAAACTCCTTGAGTGTGGGTTGGACCCACAGCCACCCAACTTGATGACATGGTGCTGTAGGATAAGAACTGGACTGCTAACTACAAAGTCAGCAGTTCAAACCCACCAGCCACTCATTAGAAACTCCGTATGGGGTTGCTAGGAGTTAGAACTGACTCAACAAACAAAAAGGTGTGTTGGTGTGAGGGTTTTCTAGACGATGGCACGTGAGGGAGGACCAAGTGCACAGCTTCCAGGTCACATCCCTCAAAGGAGCTGCTTGTCTTTCACACACTGGGATGCAGGCAGGAAGATGGAAACCCAGCGGGAGTCACGCACGGAAGGAGAAAGAAAGTGTGTCACAGCGAAGTGACAAGACAAGAAGACCCCGGAGCAAAGCAGCCACCTCTGATCTGCCTGCACACCAACTACTTTGTGAAAGGAAGAAAACTTGTTCTCTTCCTTGAGTCCTGGTCATTTGCTCTGTGGTAAAATGCTGATGTTTGAAGCCAGCAAGTGATTTTCAACACCCACGTGACAGAGTAGAACTGCCCCACAGGGTTTCCTAGGCTGTCATCTATTGTGTCACTATATACTCATATAT